TCCCAGAATTACCCACCCAGGCTGGCTAGGTAATTCTGGGAGTTGAAGTCCACACATCTTAAAGTGGCCAAGTTTGAAAAACAGTGTCTTAGATCCTTAAGAACTCACCACAAATGCCCAGTGGCCAGAAGATTGCTTTTATGAGGCATGGGTGTGTGATAGTTTTGGAGAATTTTAGACATGTCAGGTGTACAGTTTAAAAGTTGGGCCAAGATGTAGATGGCTCCAGGAGAAAGTAAAGTGGATTAAATTAAGCGAGCATACAAATTACAATGGGACAGTATGTAAATTAAGTTGTAATTTGTGTGTTTATTCCCCATGTATTTAATGATTCCTCATTCTGTCAAAATAAGCATTGACAGAAACTTTCAGTAGTGCCCTGGGATTACAGCCCCAGCTTTTGGGAGTAAGCACGTGTGCCCCTTGTAGGTTGTGCTCTTGGGATGTGCAAAATGTATTCATCCTGAACGGACTGGTGTGTAAAATTCTGGGACATTCCATTTCCCTCCAGAAAAGGTCAAATCTCATCCAGATCATGCTGTTCACTTTCCAGAAAGCAATCCCCCAATCCAGAAACAGTTTAAAGCGTTCTGGGGGTCGTCCGGTCCTGAAACAGGCCTGTTGTGTCTAGAATATTATGTATAGAACACCATTAACCATTTCTATTTTCACTTTCCAGAATTTATTTCTGGAAAGTGCAGAACTGCTCTCTGGAACAGCATGGTCTGAAGGAAAATGGAATGTTCTCTGGACCATTCTGTTACCAAATCAATTAATTGTGCCTAGCCCTATATGATTTTTAAGCACAAGTCTGGAAAAGAAAGACATTTGTAGACTGTATTTTTCTCTTACTTCAACCTAATCGGGATTCAGACTTGAACCTGTTTTCCTGCAAGCACCCTAAAACAAGCCTATTGTGGCTTTTTTACTGGTTTAATAATCCCTGTCACGTTGCAGAAAATTGATGGCTTGACAAAACTGAAGAAAGAAATTGCTTCCTTGCATGTCACTGTTCCCTTGGCCATGTTCTGCCTGGATGCCCTGAAACTGAATGAAGAACTTTGCCATCGGACCCAGAAGCTGAAGGACAGATTGATTGAGTTTGAAGTTGATGAAAACAGGAGGATTAACGAGAGGTATGCTTAAGAAAGGCATTCACCGAAGAGGATGGATATATTCCAGCACTAGGCATCACATTAGAATTACATCACTGTAATTCTGTAGAAGAATACATATGGAGGTTCAATCTTGGGTGTCTTCAAATAAAAAGGAGTAAATAGCAAATAATCTGTGCAGGTGGGGTTAGAGTAGTCGAGTAAAGTAGAGTGGGATAAGATCACACATTTTGCTAAGCCATCATGTGGTTTGGTTTTCATTTAGGGAACGTGTGAATCTAGCTTTTGTTGCATGTAAATCACGGTTTATGTTTTAGTGTTTTGTGTGAACACAGGTAATCATGGCCTCTTCAGCAAACCACAACAAATAGAGCTTAGTAATTATGAATATGGTGGCTGGGTTCCTGTGGTCTACTAAGTTAGTTTATGGAACCACAATTTATTGAAAAAGCCATGATTGGCTGGGTTTGCACAACACACTAGACCAAAATCATACAAACAACAATAGAGTTTGTATCTTTCTGAATAAGCAAAAAGTTATATTTCAGTAGGCACTGTAGGAGGAGAGCTGTGCTAGTCTATGGTGGCAAAAAATCAGGAATCTAGTAGCACTTTTTCCAACTAACACGTTATTAAAAGGTAAAAACTTTTGTGAGCTGTAGCTCACTTCATCACATGCATGGAGTACTAATCTTTTAATAACATTAGTTGGAAAAAGCGCTACCAGATTCTTGATTTTTTGATATCACACCAATAAGAATCATGCTTTTCTTTTGAGCAAATGAGATAAGTATAACTGTAGATATTGGTCTTGAATATTCCTGACTGAACCTGATGCCTTGCTGATGTATTTGACTCAAACACTGACTGAGCTATCGAAAGCCTGTGGGAGTTGAGGTTCGGCCTCTTCGGAGGGCATTAGGTTGGAAAAGGAGAGATGGAGGGAGGAAGAGAGGAAGAGAAAGGGGAGGCAGGGGAGAGAGGATGAAAAGGAGAAGAAATAAGAGGGGAACAGAAAAGGGAAGTTGGACAGAGGGAGGGAGTGGGAGGGAGAGATGGTTATAGCTATAATTCTTTGCATTAAGTACAGTGGCTGAATAGTAACTTCTCTTTTTCCTTTGCTTCAAGCATTTGCAACCAGTACAATATAATTGCAGACAAAGTCAGTGAAGTGCCTTTGACCACTGAGGAGCTGGTTGAACTCACAGCCTACCTGAAAAAGTCCAGCGAAGTGACAGTGTTTAAGCTGCGCCGGGAAATCAGAGAAGCCATTTACCGGCTGGAGTTCTTAATGGACTATGCTGACCTTCCAAGTATGCTTTGGAACAGAAAGTGGCATGTGGCACGGTGGTGGGCTTCTACACCAAAGCATGGTTCTTGGAACTGCTGCCCATTGCTGAGGCATCTCTTCTTGAGAACCTTGCCAGCCCCCTCTCGATGGGATTGGAATTAGTGGTGACTAAGGGATCAGATGCCTTTCTCCTCCCTCCCAATTTTCTTTTAAACCTTCCTATGGAAAGCAATGAAGGGTAAGGTTCCAAGGAGTTGGATTTGGCTGGGAGGCCAGCTTAATCCAAGGTTACATCATAGACATGAGGGGACTCTGGATCCCTTAGGGTGCCCTGCATCTGGTCTTGGAACCAGCAGCAGGATCACCAGTGGAAATATCAGGAGACCCTAAGATGAAAGTGTTGCCCTGCTGGTGACATTCATCTCTCCACCAGTGGAGAGAGACTCCTCAATCAATCATCGAGATAGGTTAGGATTGTTCTCTGGGTCAAGGAATTGAATCAGCTTTAATGGCTTGATCAGTTAACCCTGCTTCCTTGGCTTGGATTTGTCATACTTGCAGACTGTCATAATGGAAAGTTGGAATAACAAATGTATATTGTCTCATATTCTTTGGAGGAAGCATATGATATATCCGTTCTCCTTCCTGGTCTTTTTAAGGGTGTTTTCTTGGTCTATAGCCCATTTTTCAAATAGAAAGTTACCCTCCTGCTGTTTTTTTTGGTAGGTGATGATATCAAACTAAATAGTACAGTTCTGCATTGGCCGGATAGAATTGAAGATATCTTTGACACCAGTCGGAATCAACTCATGAACAGGAGGGATCAAGTTGAGGTTGCCCTGATAAAAAGGTTGGTTATATACAGCTAGGAAACAGAGATTTTCTTTCAACAAATGCGCCTGATTCATATTTCTTGGCTCAATGTGGATTTTTAAAATTTGGAACCATCTTATGTTTCTACCTAATGCTTGGGAAGTTGCTGAAAGAAAATCGATATCCTATGCAGAAAAATGATGAAAATGGGTATAATTTATGGAAAAGCAATGAAAATTGAGCAATTAATTGAGAAACAAAACTTAAGATGGCTTTGCTTTTTATTATCTCCAAACCAGATGCTCTGAATTTGAAACTATACTTGAAGGTTATAACAAAGAAGTGGAAAGTTTCCGGAAGAAGGACGTCATGACCATGGAAGAAATGAAGAATAACGTTGAAAAATTCACTGAGTTGTCAAAGAATTTGGACCACGCTCTTCTGGAATATGAGGTTAGTCTCCATGGATTTCAAGAGGTAAGCATTGATTTAAATTATCTCAGAGGAACCAGCCCATGGAAATTGATAGATTGACTATGTGCCATCAAGCTGGTGTTGACTCCTAGTGAACACATAGACAGATTTTCTCCATGACAATCTATTCCTAACCTGGTCCTTCAGGTCTTCCAATGATACACCCCTCGCTTCCATAACTGAGTCTATCCATTTTGCTGCTGGTCATCCTCTTCTCTTTCCTTCCATCTTTCTCAGCATCAGAGCCCTCTCCAGAGAGCTGGGTCTTTGCACGGTGTGTCCCAACTTGCATAATTTGAACCTGGACATCTGTGCCTTGAGTGAGAAATCTGGGTTGATTCGTTTGATGATCCATTGGCTTGTTTTCTTGGCTGTCCATGGTATATTCAGGAGACTTCTCCAACACCAAAATTCAGAAGCATCAGTACCCTTTCTATCTGGGTTCTTCAAAGTTATGCAAATATATTTACAGAGCTGAATTCAATAGATATGTAGTGGATAAAATACCAAGGGAGGCATTTTTTTCCTTCTTAAAAGATGGGGCTTGAATCTTTTTCCCATCTAACTGTTGATGTGAAAGATAGCAGCACATTCAGATGCTGAAACTATTTCAGCCTTTGCAGTTTTTTCTTTGCAAGCTGTTCAATGCTCGTGGGAGCTTGTAATAATGGCTTGAGAGGTCAGAGAACTATTGTAATTGTAGTTCAATCACTCAAAGACCTATTGGGCAGTTTTTAGTTTTTTCAAGTGTGAGCAGGCAAAAGGTATGACCACTCATGCAGATGAAAAACTGAGCAGTGGAGATCAAACTCTTGATTTATTTAATATGGCCATTCCAATTCCAAATTATTAGTTGCAAATGCTGCCTGAAGCTTTATTGACAATATTAATAATCTTCAATCCTGGGAAGAAAATTTCCCTTTGGGGACAAAAGAATTAGTCTTTTGAAAGAATGCAGAGTTATTCTTGCCAGATGCATCTCAGCAAGGCAAGAACGTGCTTATCAAGAGCATCAGATCAAAGAAGTTCATCCTTATCAAAAGTAATGAGAAACAGCAGAATCATTAGCAGATAACGAGGATGAACCCATTCCTATTGGTGCTTATGTGAATGGATACTGTGTGTTTTCACAGCTGGATCACTTTAAGGCAGTGTTTCTCAACCTTGGCAACTTTAAGGTGGTGGAGTTCAACTCCCAGAATTCCCCAGCCAATTCAGCTGGCTGCGGGATTCTGGGAGTTGAAGTCCACGTGTCTTAAAAGTTGCCAAGATTGCAAAACACTGCTTTAAGGGCTAGCATGACGGCTTACTCCTTGCCTGTGGAACACAACAAGATTAGGGTAATGGTTAATGTACATGGTGCTTTAGGGGATCTTGTTGATTCTTAAAAAAAAAAAATCAGTTGAAAAATGGTATGGAAATGGAGTCAGACTGAACCTGTGCTTGGAAAAATATGTAGGCATTATAGAAAGCAAAGGGGAGAATGCCCCATTTGGAAATGAACTGTTAAAATAAGAAGAATGTATGTCTGAACTGCAGGCTATTAATCAAGAAGAAGAGTTACTTGAACGAGAGAAAAGTCAGTTTCCTCTGCTGCAAACCATCATTACACACAAGATCCCTTTTGAACAACTTTGGGTGACTGCTTACCACTTTCATTTGAAATCTGAGGAATGGATGAATGGTGAGGATTTGGGCATGGTAATGGGTTTCTCATAAACATGTGGTGGGGTCCTTTTTAAAATTATGGATTCATTTACCATTTGCAAGGACGGCTAGAATAAGGTGTGTTCAGTTCACCAAAAGAAAGATGGTCAGGTCTTGAATCTCGGAGAATCCATTATGTTCTGAAGGCATTTTTCCAACTGTATAGTCCTTTCTCAATTAGGCATTTGTCATAAATGGTGTCCGTATCAAAATGGCTTTTTAAAAATCTCTCTCTTCTTTTTCTGTTATCCTAGAGGTTGTCTTTTCTCCAATTAAAAGTTTTTCCCAGGAATTCCTGCACGAGGACCTGATGATCTTAAAAATGTATCATTCAGGTCTTTCAACCCGCAGTTTTATTCTGCTTATTTACCAGCTCCAGCCAACCGTTCCTTGAGTTCTGACGGAGGATTTATAATTCCTGCTGCTGTCACATTAATGCAGAAGGATCATTTCTAATTCATATTTTCATGGAATTTATAATGTGTCAAAGCTAATTGGTTTTGATAGCATGCTTCTGCTTATAACCATTTGCAGGCGCTTTCCTCTGACATTTTTTTTGCACCTCTGCATGCAGGGCCTGTCCAACTCTTAAACTCTGAAGAAATCAGCGAGGATGTCTCCAGTATGTGGCGAACCATGTATAAATTGACAAAGACCTTTATAGATCTTCCTGGCCCCAAACGTATGGCAGAAAATGTGAAATTTAAAATTGACAAGTTCAAACAACATCTGCCCGTCCTCTCAATTGCCTGCAATCGTGGGATGAAAGACCGCCACTGGGAACAGGTCTGGTAAACTGAACAATATCCAATCTGTGGAGTTGTTAAGGCTGGGTGCTGGGAGGAATTTTTGGCTTGGACAACACAGTGTTACCCCCATTCGCTCCTTGGTTGGAAGCCGTCAGCCTTCCAAGGTAGACCAGCTCAAGAAACAGATGCTGCGTAGACTTAAGGCTACTTTTATTAGAAGGGCTATAGTAACATAATGTTACAAGTGCTTGAATGCACTTCCCCTCCTCCCTCTTTTATCTTCATGTGAATTAGGCAGACGCCTGCTTTAGATGCTTTTGTAAATGTCTGTCTGATTATGGGCTTAAGCCACATTAACTGTTTGTTGCCTTAGTAAGGGATCTTTCCTTTCTCTGTCAAGGTCATCCTCTATATCAGTGTTTCTCAAACTTGGCAACTTGAAGCTGTGTGGACTTCAACTCCCAGAATTCCCCAGCCAGTCATTCCCAGGAATTCTGGGAGTTG